TGTGGAATAGTTAATTTAGTTTTTCACTATACACTATTTTAATTTGGATCAATAGGGATATTTATCCCTTGGATGTATTAAAATATTATATTTTCTATAAAGGATACATGGAATAATAAAACTGGACCGAACTTTTTATTTTTATTTATTTATTTTATTTTTGGTTTTATGGGGTTAGGAGTGTCACTTGACCTGGTTTGAGTTGGACATTGATCAAACCAAAATTAATTTGAATGGGTTGGACAGTTCATATTCCAATAAGACTTGGATTGGATTTGGTTCATCTGCAATGAATTCTTATTGGACTGGGTCAGGTTGGACCAGTATCCAGTCCATTGACAATCCTATATAAGTTAGGACACAATAGGGTCTAGCCTCATCCCAAACACCCCACCAACCCTGATGGAGACTGGAATTCAATCCCAAGCCTCGCTACAACCAGTCAAAAACCTTACCAACTAGCCAGTTGGCACATTACAACCGGACCAAATTCTTATAAGCGAAAATGTTGGCTAATGGCTAGCCAAAATTATTGAGCAACAGATAATGTTTTACAAGTCTGTAACTGGATGGATATCAGTGAGAACCCACCTCAAAAAACCTAAATCAAAAACAGAATTTCTGATTCATGCATTATCTTCGGAGCTTTTGAAGAGTTTAAATAGGGTAATTAGGTATTTTGATGGCCCATCCAAATAATTTCCCCTTTAAAACAGGCATTTTTTTTATGAGAATAATTTCAGGTGATCTTTGGCCCAGCGAATCTCCAAAGCAGGACCCTGAGAAATAATTTGAGGTCCTTGTCAGAGTAATTCAAGGACAGATGACAAATTAGGGGGCCCCAGACTGGTTACGGTAATATGGTTCCCTTGTCCCGGTCGCAAGTTCTGCCTCTGGAAGATTGGACTGGAGAGTCTGGCAGCCGAGCCGAGATGAATTTTGGCATCTCTTGGCTCCACTCCATTAAAATAATATAAGGTTTGTGTTCTAGTTTCAGTTCAACTCAAACTATATTTTTTTGTTTGAAAGCTTAAAAATAAATATTTAATGAGTTCGAGTTCGGCTTGAAAGCTTAAAAATAAATATATTTATATATTTTATATGTATGATATTTTTTATAATATATTGTATATTCTTATATTATATAAAATATATTTTATAATATAATATGTATGATATTTTTTATAATTTATAATATATATTTTTATGTACGTATGTATGTATTAATCGAGCCAAGTTTGCGATCTTTCGAGTCAAACCTTTTATTGGTCAAGTTTGAGCTCGAATAACTAATCAAGCTAACTCCAAGGATCGAACTCGATTCAAGCTTGATTAAAATCGACCTCGAATTGAGCCTAATCGAATTCGAGCCCAAATTGTTCGATTAGAGATCGATTCGATTGCAGCCCTAACACCCAATTCATCAATCAGGTTCGTCCAAATGCTCAACCCAAGTGGATTGAAATCCAGGTTGCCAAAGAATAGGGAACAAGTGAACAACACCCACCGAAAATCCCACATGCCAAAGCCATCATGAATTCATGATCTTAGAACCAATTTAGGGTCTATTTGATTTGTGGGAATCGAAATGGGAAGGGGTCATTACAATTTCAATTGTTTGGTTGGACAGAATTATAATCCTATTTCCATTCTTAGTACATAGAATGGCATTCTCCCATTTGAGAGAATGACCATTCTCTCTCCCTCTTTTAGGAATGAAATTCCATTTCAGTTAATTTCAATTCCTATTCCGATTACTGTGGGAATGAAATAGACTATAAAAATAGATCCTTCTGGTTTCAATTCCAATAGATTTTAATTCCTACTGTAAACCAAACAGATCCTTGTTTATTTTACGTTTTTATTTATTTATTTATTTATTTTACTTGTGTTATACGTCCAATTGTTGGTTTCAATAGCATTGAGTGGACCGGACCGGATGACCTATGAAATTTTGGTGAGGTTGAATTAGCAATGCTTGGTAGAAAGGTTTCTAATGTTGTAAGAACAAAATAGCAACCATTTTCCCCCCCAAAACCAAATTGGTCCTAGGTATTGATCTGGTCCCATAATTCTTGATGAATGCCCTATTAATTAATTGCAAAGTTTGGATTTTGGATTTTGCTAAATAATTGATCAGGCATTTTTTGGGCTGATGCAATGCACTACAATCATCCTTCTGGAGTCCAGACATGGAAGGACAAATTTGCATTGACAGATGTGACGCCATCTTAGGTTTTGTTTGGGATAACGTCAAAATGCAATGTGGCACCATCTCTCAACTTGCAGGGTTTAAACATATCCTTTTTCTCTCTCAGGCTTCTCCTCTTCTTCCTCCTCATCCTCTATTTTTAAGTTTAGATATATCTATCTTACAGGACAATAAACCAGATCGTCTCACCTGATTCAAATGCATCGAATCCACATCTCTATTCCACAAAACCCAAAAGGGAAAATTATTTACATCAATAAAATAAAATAAAATCATTATCATCATGTAAGTCTTATCCCAGCTATGTGGCCATCTTAATCTATTTTCTCTTTTTAAATCACCTATTTCGGATTCTATCCTTTCTAGCTTTTTTACTTGTCCATCTCAACATAAGATTGGCATCGCTCATTTTCTGAATGTCATTTCAAAATTAAAATAAATAAAATATAGGAATATTTTAGCTACCTTTATCAAAAGTGGGATGCAAGTGAAGCCAATAAGTGATACAAGTAATGCAAATTTTCTCCTAATCCTCTATGGTTTTCAAAATGATTAGGGATGACTTTACCTACTCCCTAACCCAACCCTCCAACGCCTCCACTCAAACCTGATTTGACCAGACTTAATAACATGCAATTGTTGAACTTGCCCTGATATTTAGGGTTCAACCTAATACTAACTTGACTTGATACAAAGTCTTTCACTTATATTTTTTATGAAAAAATATGAACAGATTCAATGCAAATTTCTGATTTCCACTGCAGAACTATAAACATTCAAATTATCAATAATCCACATTTTATGCATTAATGCCTGTCTATGAATTGATATCAATTCCAAGCTGATACCTACCATAACAGCACTTTAGACCTACAAATTCTAACCCTGGGCTGAACCCTATTTTTTATAAAACATATATATTTTGAAAACCTAAGACCCAAAACAAATATGAAAAGGGATCCTACACCTTTTTAAGACTACGAGGTTAAAAGTTATACCAAATTAGAAAACAACCTCTACTACTGTACTACATAATCAGGGGTATCATGATCTGGTGGGCCGGGACAGCGAAGCCTGAATCCGGGCTCAAGGTCGAAGCATCAAAGTTCAAAACCCTAACCCGAACTTATACCAGAATAATCCTGATCTTAACTCGCCTTTATAATATTAAAGTTAATAGATTTGCCGTTGTAACCCAATCCTTTGACCATTTGGCATCCCACGAAGAATGCGTACCTGGTAATAACACATCACGTGATGTTGATTTTTTTGGGTCCATATAACCGAAGCAGATGCAGTGCATCATTCTGGGACTGGCCCACTCAAATGCGGGTCGCCATGGCAACTGGTCCCACCAGGGTCCAGGTGTAAACTCGCAACTAAAATGTCACTTGAGTTTTTAGGGGATAAAAGCCTACATATTTGATAGTGATCGGTGGATCTCTCAACACTGAATCCCTCGACAAAAGCAAAGGTTGATGAGCAAAAATTAGTTGTTTATAAGATGGATTAGTCAAGAAACCCAATACAAGCCGATTCGAGTTAGTCGGTTTTCAATTAATTTTAGTCGATTTCGGTTCAGACATTACGTTAAATACTAGAATTTGGGTTGATTTTGGTTTGGTTATATGTAAACCGATCAAAATTTATCCTTCCTGATCATAAATATATTTTTATATTTAAATTTTAAAATTTTTAATATATATTTTTTTAAATTTTTAGGCATTTTCATTCAATTTTCAAATCTCAGTTACATCCTTGTTAAACATAGAAGAGATAAACTCAGGAGTAGAGGAACAGGTTTGAGGAAGTTGACAAGTAAGAGTAAATTTAGCTAAGTAATGAATTACCTGATTACCAGATCTCAGAGTAAAAGTAACTGAAAAACCATCAAGGTGATTGAGGAGACTATTTCAATTAGATATTAGAGTAAAAATACTCCAAGGAGGATGAGAATTTTCCTCCAATGAGAACTTAATAACTATTTCATTATCACCTTTAAAGATGGTGTGAGAAAATCCCATAAAAATAACTTGAGAAACAATTGGAAGCAAACAATTGATAAAAATAGTTCACACAAAGATGAGAGATCCCGTGTGGTTACTCGCTAAATGGCCAATGAGAGGCTTTATCCAGTGCACCGACTGAATCAGTCTGACAGGATCCATAAAGCTACTATGATGATTAGAAGTGATTAATATGAGAAAATAGAAAATTTTCTAATTATTATACTTTTTTTTTTCAATTTAAATTTAAACCTTCTAAACTGATGATCAAATTGATACGTTTCCACTAGGATCGGTCAGCTCCGAATGAACTATTCTCAGACTCGACAAGGTCGATTCAATTGGAGAAAGAATTTGGCGTTAGGTTGCCTTTTTCAGATTTGAGCGTCGTGGCATGAAATATATCATGACATGGGAATTGGGATATACTACGCGCGCTTTCTCGTAGCCACATCCTATTCTCCATTGAGAATATATCTCCATAAATAATATATAGAAGTACGAAGATGATCTCGATGTGCGGCCAAGATATGCTTTTGCTTTGAAGTCGGTGTGAGGCACTTTGAGTGAGGAGCATGGCATGTACTCGGGGCAGTCCTTATAGGAGTGTCAGAAAGTCGAAACGAAACTTCCTCCGAGACTAGACTCTGTACTCTGTAGAGAGACTAAATCCCGCTTTCCCCGCAACGGCAGTCAGTCAAATTGGTCAACTTCAAAAAGGAAATTCTATACATAGAAATATAGAATAGATTTCCTTCTAAGTTCCAACCCCTAAATAAGACAGACGTCAGGCGGCTCACATGACAGGTTTCAGAAAATTGACTAAATGGGGACGGGGGAGGCTCCTACCCTACTCGGCTACTCCTACTCCTCATCCAGACGTACGCGCCGAGTAAAGAGTTCCCACTTCCCGCAATGCCAATGGCGGGATTTTTAAATAATTTTACCAAACTGCCCACTGTTCAGGATCGGATCGAATGGCTATATTAGTCCAATTAAGTTAATTACCTTCCCCTGGAAATTTAAGTTTGATCGGCACGGGTATTTTCGTAGCTATAAATGCTCGTCAAACCGAGAGGCGAGACTCGTGAGGCAAGCACCAAGAACCTTCCTCAGTTCCTCCTTCATATAAATACCTTCTCGCCTCTCGCTATCTGCTCTTGACTCTTGAGCTTCAAACCCAATACCCCATATAGGACCTCTCTCTCTCTCTCGGCCACAGCCACGAAGATCGAAGGCCATGGATGACGGTCCGAACGATGCGACACGAAGCTATGTGGCGAGGAGCTACGCCCTCAGCGGTAAGATAATGCTGAGCGCCATTGTTATACTGTTCACAGTTGTTCTGTTAATCTTTTTCCTCCACATCTACGCCCGTTGGTTCCTCACCCGCTCCCGTAGGCGTCATAACACACGTCACGGCCGACCCCGGACTCATCTCGTTTTTACCTCCTCCGACCCCGCCGCCTCGGCTAACACCGTCTCCGCTCCCTCTCCCGGCCTCGACGCTTCGGTTCTCAAGGCCATTCCCACCTTCGTCTACTCCTCTGCAACCCATGACCAGGTGCTGGAATGTGCCGTGTGCTTATCCGAGTTTGAGGAGAACGAGAAGGGTCGACTCCTTCCGAGATGCAAGCACAGCTTCCATATCGATTGCATAGATATGTGGTTCCATTCTCATTCCACCTGCCCACTTTGTCGAGCCCCTGTCAATCCTGAAATCGAAAGTCCTCCCCGGAAGATAGAAGCTGCCGTCGACGTCGAGGTTGTTATTTCTGTGGGTGTGGGTGAGCCCCCCGAGACACAAGTCGTACCAAGTACTGGGCGCTGCCCAGAGTGCCGCTACCATGAAAACGAAATGAATCGCATGCCATCTTCTACCAATTCGTCTTCCCCCTCAGCGGCGGCGGATTCATCGTCGTCGTCGTTGGGAAACCGAAGGAAGCCATTTGAGTTGGTGGGTGTTTCTATTGAGGTGCCAAGAAGAAACAACGAGGCCTTTCGGGGTATGATGGAGGAGGAAGTGGGAGTGGATTCACCGGGAGGAGGGCAAGGGTTCAAATCGCCAGGAAGTCGAATTCTATCATTGAAGATGATATTGAGCAGAGATAGGAGAGCTGCACTTTCACCTTCTTCTGCAGCAATCGTGCAGAGCTGCAACTCTTCTGTCACAGAAAGCAATGATCTGGAGCGAAGTGAGGAAGGACAACAACGTCCGCGGTGAAAGGGCGGTGCCACTCAGCCACCGCGCAACGACTCGTACGAACGTTGAACGGGAAGCACGTGACTGTACCTTTCAGACACCGGACGCCTTTCGTTCGGTGGTGACCCCTATAAATGATTTCACAAACAAGAAATTATGTGATTTTATTTATTGAATGAGAGATGTAAAAATGGAAAATGTAAATAGAGAGCACGAGGAGAAAGAGAAAGGCCATTTGTTTATTTATTTGTTTGGTAGTTATTTTGTATGTGTTTTATTTTCGTTGGCGTTTATGGATAAGTCGTTTATTTGTATTTTTTTTTTATTTTAAACGTTTATTTCTATTTTTTTACCTTTTAACGTTTATTTTGTTGTTCGGCGTTTTTTATTTTTCACCTCAGATTAATACCTATTAAGTTTTTTTAAATATCTTATGTAAAAAATCAAAGTGTTTTAATTTTTTACTATTTATTTGATAAATAGAAAAACTAAATAGTTATTTTATAAAGTGTTTTATTATTTATTTGATAAATGGTGAAATCAAATAACTGTGGCAGTGACATTTTGAAATAAAAAACACTTTATTTTAGCAATTAAAGTTAAAAAAGTTGAAAGGGGTGTTTACTGTTTTGTACAGCCTGTTGTGTTGTCATTGTTTTTTGTGTAAATTTTCTACCTGAAACGTTTTAACAATACAAAACATCACCCGTATTTTTTGAGAAAACAAACCGTGTTAGTTTGATATAGTATATGTTTGGTTTTGTTTATGTTTATTGAGTAAATATTTATTGAGGTGCCATATAAGTGCCCTGTTAGCAAATGCTTTATTAATTTCATTTGTGTATTGAAGTTTGCAATTATGTGCATCTCTCATTTTAGGAAAGTTTCATTTTGGAGCTTTTTGAAACGGATAGGCATTAATCGGCAATCTGTTGATGTGGTACTTAACGGTGTCTATGTGTCATAAACATTCTCATTAAATATGTTTCTCGGTTTTACAGTGATAAATACAAAATGTTTATTGAATAAACGTAAATAGAACTTAACATCCTCATAATATGTGTTTGGAATCGTAGACGTATATTCGCTAAATGTTTATATTTGATTTGCTTGCAAAACTGAAAAAAGTAATAATGAATTCGCTTATTAACATTTAGGCGTCATAAGACTTCACATCCAGGGGCGGAGCCAGAGGAGCCATGGCCCCCCTATGGTCCAGAATTCTTCATTTGGAAATAGAGCTTTTCATGTAAGTTTCCCCCCTCCCAAACTCTCTACCCCAATGGTTCGCTCCCCCTATGGGTTCATACTTATTACCCCCTCCCCCGCATTAGGTTTTGGCCCCCCTCAAAAAGTTTCTGGCTCCGCCCCCAATCACATCATCAAAACAATGAACAAACGCCTATTTGTTAAGAGAAACATAGGAGTACACACATAAATAAAGCCTGTTTTTATAAGTCTATAAATGATGAAGTGGTGTGTATGTGACAGTATTTATTCAATAAACACTCACGGTAGTTCTAAACACACGCATACTGTTTTTTTAAAAAACGTAAAAACAGTTTTTTATTTGGTACAATTGTTTTAGCACATCACCGGTTCCAAACAATGGCATTGTGGTAACACATTTCTTATCAAATTTGTATTGATCCCAATTCAAAACCTGCAGCTGCAAAATACTTCCTAAATTGGCAGATTGCGGATTATAAATACCATTTAGGATTCACAAACTAATTCAACAAGTGCGATTGATTAAATCAATTAACTTAACGATCAAATCTTTAACCGTCCAAAGTTGTTTACTGGCCACTTGGATAAACTGATTTATGTTAGTCTGAACTCTGAAGCCGTTGTTTCTACCTTTGGCCCAGTTTCACGTTGAGTCGTTGACCTCTCCATGGTAAAAAGTAAAATGTGCTGGGCACCGATATTGCATGGTTCGGGCCCAATTCTAGGCTCCAGACATAAAGCGTGAGCGTGAAACGGCAGTGGAGCAATTAAACCTGGCGATCGGGTTGGGCTTGGGTAAAGACACTTGGGTTGATTTTAGGTCGGGTTAAATTTTAGGTTAGGTCGTTAAATACTAGACCTTAATCTTAAATGTTCGAATTGACCCATGGGCAATTAAACCTGGCGATCGGATTGGGTAAAGATATTTCGGTTAATTTTAGGTTCGGTCGTTAAATACTAGTCCTTAATTGACAAACATCCAATTTTGAAAAAAAACGGATCAGTTCCCGATTTTTCCGATCCGATTTTGAAAACCATGCCTATTAACATATAACGCAGGTATGACATTAGCTGCGTGTTTTAACCGACTTGGGATCAATTGCTGACAACATCCTATTTTGTATGCCACCTGTCCCCAACACGTGGGGTGCATACCGCATTCACAAGTTTTTAAAAGATGGTCCACGTGTTGAGAACAGGCGGCACAACACTGTAATGTTTAGCAACAATAACTATTTCTTCATCGTCAAGGAGTCAGATTGAAGACTGCTAGAAGTTTTCATTTTTTATTTGTTTCATTAATACGTTTAAAATCTGAATCATTAATGTCTTAGTTTGGATTAATTTATTTAGATTTTCTAAGATGACGTGTCATTGAAAAAGCTGGGGCGGAGGAGGAGTGAGTTCGGTGGGTAGGTTGGATAACAAGAATCTCAATTCAAATTAATGAAATAAAGAGCAAATGTGGAGAGTTAAGGTGACCTTCCTCTTCCTCCCTCGGTTTGCTTCACCGCCTTCACAACCCAGGAGATAGAAGAAGGGATCAAAGACAGATTGTCAAGTTGGAAAGCCCAGCTCCTCTCCCAAGCTGGGAGAATCACCTTAATCCAATCTGTCATCTCTGCGATACCCACATACCAAATGAGCACTCAAGTTCTACCAGCTAAACAACGAGCAGAAATTGAAAAATCTGTAAGGTCCATGGAAATCAAGCCCATCAGCCGAGCCAGGAGTCACGAGGCCCAAAGACAATGGGGGTCTACGACTAGGACTGCGCAAGGTTAAAGAAATGAATCAAGCTCTATGCGCCAAACAAATCTAGAGGCTTCATTCTCTTCTCACAGAACGCACTTCCCTATTGGAGAAAATCAAACCCGAGCTCATATGACTAACAAAAAATAGCCACTATCTATCCTCTTCTGCATTTGGAAGGCAAGATGCAAGATGGTGTTTGGACAAGGATACCCCCGCTTTCAACAACTCCTCCGAATCAAGTCACTAACTCCACCTTCTCAGACTCTACTGGCTAAGCTTCTGAATTCAAACCCTCACTACAATATTTCATTGCCAAACACAGCCTATGTTTTTACGATGGATCTCATAGGAATATAGTCTATGCTTCATATGGCTTTGTAATCCTTAACTCTGAAAGATGTTTCATTGCAGCCATAGGTAAGCCATGCAAGCTGTGGAAGCCGATTCAAGCAGAACGGAGAGCAATTTATGAAGCTTTAACCTACCTCACCTCCCTCAACATCCAAAGGGTTCAAGTTTTTTGTGGTGCTACAGCTGTTCTATCTCAACTCAATAGCATAGAAGCTTCTCGGTCCAGCTGGGAAGACAATGGTTATTTTGTTCTAATTGAAAAGCTGCTGGAAAACTTTGAGTATTGTAATTTTTCGTATATATCACGGACACTAAATTTAGCTCATGCAATGGCCTACGAAGCCTGTACAAAACAGGAATATTTTGAGTTTTTTAACACACCTCCTACGTGGCTAAAAGAACACTTTTTGCTACTAGCCAGGGGAGGTAGTCAAAACATGTATATTTTGAAATAGCTATGAATGAAGCTGCTTTTATAAAAAACTCCATAAGGATGAGGATCAACTGCTGCTACTGTAGGGTAGAAGAGGTACGTATCAAAGTCAAAATCAGAAAAGACCAACTGCTAATAATTGGACGTTTTTTTTTGGATAAGTGGACTGCAATGCATCAGAAATTAATCCTAATGTATTTGTAGCCCCCTCTTATAAAATGCATCCTGTTGTGAATTTGGCATCAACAATCGCAGATAGGATTCAGTCAATCCCTAGAACTCCTATCTCCACTCTAGTGGTGGACTGAACTATACACCCCCCTCCCTTTTTATATTTGGCAATTAGAGTTTGGATCTATTTCTCACACATCGAACCTTATCTCCTGTACTTTTGTGTTATTATTCATGGGTGATGTTTTCAATGCATGATAGAGTATGCGTTTATTTGGCATTGATGTTGTTGAACTAGAAAATGGTGATACATTAATGCCACGTTGAAAAAAGGGTGCTCCAAGAAATGCCTATTTGTTTGGAACTGTTTTTCCATAAAAAAAACAATGCTCTAAGTCACACCTTGGAAATCAAGAAGGTGTGGTTTGGAGCAATGCCAAATTTGACATTTTTTCACATTACAGCTCGTTGCTACTTTAGAGAATTATTTATTAGTTAGTATTAATAGTCTGTATTAGCTGAGTTAGTTAGGTTGTTAAACAGCTCATAACAAACTTTGCTGAGCTGGATTAGTTTGTTACTCTTCTCTCTCTTCTTTTTCTTTCCTACTCTTACGTGTATATAATGTAGCTTTAGCTGTTGTATTCAGTCAGTTACAAGTAATACCGGATTTCTTCTTCTTCTTCTTCAATATTTTCTCTGGTCTTCTTGCTTTCTGTTCATGGTATCAGAGCCAGAGATCCAAACTAGATCTTGAGCTCTCTTTTTGATCAAGTTGATATTTGAAGAATGATGGATGCTGATCTTGATGTTTCGGTGACAAGAGCAGGAAAAACACCAAACAATAATGGTGGAAATGTTATCAATGGCGTTGGTATGGGAAAAGAAGCTTATACTGGAAGCAATAATGGAGATCCTCTATTTTTACAGAATTCGGATCATCAAGGCATGATATTGGTGTCTAGTCCACTAACTGGAAACAACTATTTGACATGGAGCAGATCAATGAAGATCGCGCTTGGAGCTAAGGTGAAATTAGGTTTCATCAATGGAAGTTGCAAAGCACCAGAACCTGATTCACCTACTTTTGAGCAACGGACAAGAGTGGACTGTATAGTAACTTCTTGGATACTTAACTCTATTTCTAAGGACATTGTTGATGCTTTTCTATACTCTAATCTGCAAGAGATCTTTGGCTAGAATTGGAAGAAAGGTTTGGAGATTCAAATGGACCTTTACAATATCATTTGCAACGAGATTTAGTACAATTAGTCAAGGAAATCTAACAGTGGCACA